CGTGCCACGCGCAGATTTGACATGTCGGGCTGTGCTCCTTCAAAACCAGCGTGTAGTTGCAGATCTCAGTGTGTGAGTCGACTTTTTGCGGATGGGTCGACTTCGCACGAATCTGGGCGTGAGCTTGGGGAGAGCCGACTTCACACAACCTGCGTCGACTTAACCCCAGCGCCTCGTAGCCCCTGGAGACTAATCTGAGCTTGCTATGTTGTATTTCCAAATCCTGGAATAGATTTTGGTGACCTACCAGTAGATGGTGTACTGTTCAGTAGGGCGAGGCTTCAAAGAAAGATATATACGAGGTAGTCTTACTGAGGATAGACGTAACCAGTATCCGTGTATGAGCAGCTAGGAAAATGAGGCCGCTGCGGCGAGTGGGGCGCTTCGCTGGCGCTCGTAATGACCTTGCAGAACCTCGGCGCTCTGTGGATGGATGCTCCACTCGCATCAACGAATGGGGATGGATGCTCCAATGACATGAACCCTTGGCCAGCCTGGATGCTGTGGTGAAGAATGCCTAATCAGCACGAGCAACAAATGTTCACATACTGCCAAGTACATGTTAGCCGGAGTAGGTAAGCGCACCTGATCTCAACGACACCGGTAAAATACAAAGAAACGTGTCCAAAAGCGTACAAAAACTTAGGCAAAATAGGTGGCCTATCACGACAAAGAGACGATGACTGCCAGCACCAGGACTACCTCCACTACTGCATGCTACTGCTGCTCCCGCTGCTACCACTCTCCTGCTGCGTCTGCTTCTGCTGCTGCTGCTGAGTCGTGCCATCAAGGCGTGCTACAGTATCGTACGTCTCAAGGCTTGAAACTTAAAGGTGGAGCTGGGCTTCAACCATCAACACATGACGGTGGTTCTTATTCTACAAGCACTACTGTTACTAGTACGACGAGGGCGACTACTTCTGCTGCTGCTGTGGTGATGATCACGATGGCGAAGACAGTTGTTCCACTTTCTGATCATTCATTGCTTCACGTTCTGGCAGCTGGCTATCATTGATGTTGTCATTCCTTAACAGGCGTGCCGTGCATGCGGGTCAATGCTGCCAAGCTTGAGGGAGGGGCCTAGAACAGAAACCGAGCTACAGCAGAAGCACCGCAGATGTACACTGGATTACGCAGGAGTGATAGTGACGCTTTCGTTAATCACGCAAGTTCCTGCAAGCAGAGCAAAGATAGCTCGATGAAGTATTCAAAGTCAGAATAGCAACCGCAAAATTGCTGGGAGGAGGGATACCAGTGGTCATGTGCTCAGGAGCCTCCCTTGGCAAGCACAGAGAAGTGGAAGTGAACCTAAATATTTGCTAAGATCGGACACGTTGCGATGCAAGTAAGAATGTCCCGATACCCTAGATCTGCATGGGCACTGAAAGCTCGGTCGACTCTGTGAAAGTAGCGAGGTGAAGACTTTGATTCCCATCTTTGTCCTGCTTACGCCAGGCAGCTGATGATCCGTACCTGTAGCCAGCTTTCTTTACCTTGAGAAGGAGGCCTTAATATGCTTCTGTCATCACGTCAGAGATCCTGATGTGTGATGGCAATGAATGCATGTCATGAGGTAGCAGACTTCAGGAGTTTCCGGCCTGTGCGGAAAAGAGTGCTTCTGTCAGCGAACCTTGACCGCGCACAACAACAGTCAAACTCCAATCTCCCGGCATCCGGTCCTGATTTGCAGAACAGTCGTTGAAAAATTAGCTGTTTGTTTGTGAGTATTTCTGGATTGAGCAGCCGCGCTCTAGACGCGAGGCATGAGCCATTTGTCGAGTTTCTTGAAGACAACCATGCCTGAAACTTGCCAGCCTGTGCAAATATTTCCAGCAAGCCTGAGAGGCAGTCTCATAGCTCACGGAGCGGTGAGCAGACCTCTGCAACAGCAGGCGCACCCGCATCCTGCTGGGTTGCAGCTTCCGGAGCAGCACGTTGAAGCCCTTTGCCGCCCTTTGCAGCAGCTTGACCTAGCTTTTACTCTCTCTCTAGTTCAAGCATACATAAAAAGTCCTTGACTTGACATCCCCCTCAGACAAGTTGCGCTGAACTGCAGGTCGAGCGTGTCGGCGACCCGGAGCCTTGCTCAAAGGTGCGACCTCATGTTGCTGGCTATGATCAAATGGGAGAAACTTCACTGTTTCATGTGTAAACACTACGGAGGTTCTGAAGTTCAGGGATGAAGGGAATGGGTGGATGTGCGTGAGCGGCTTGCCCAGAGGGTTCTGCAGGTTTCGGAACTTTGCGGGACATTGCGCATCCATCCGGAGTGTCCTTTGCGCACGGGATTGGGAGGTGTTCCTGCGTGGAGCGTCATGGCAATTTGCGGTCATGATGGCGCTCCTGCCGTCGCATTTGGCACCTCAATGCTGAAATGGCACTCTCGCATCGCGTCTGTCCTCGCAATTTGGCTTGAAATGGCGCCGGGCGTGGAGCGTCCTGACATTTTGCCTACCATAAAGGCCACCAGTTTGATAGTTTTTCTCTCCCATTTCGGA